AGGCACTAATTATGGAACCATTCTTCTGTTTCACTGCATGCAGGGAGATCATGAACAGTTAAATTTAGAAGTTGCTGCACACATGGGGCTGCCCTGATGATGATATACTGGTCTCATATCACTGCATTGGTGCAAAGAGGGTTCTCTATCCTGTAATTTCTCACTCCTATCGTACTGCTACCAGACCCTCACATGTTGTGGAAACATTGTGAAATATTTCTTCTCTTCTAGTGCAAATGAGAGTTGGCAGTCAAATTCCAGATCTCACAATATTTGAATCCTCAATAGGCTAGATCAGCATTACATGACTGAGGGGAGGCAGTCTCTCCTCAGTTCTTCCAGTACTTTGAGATAACACACATTAACTGTAGCCAACAACAGATGCACGTGTACATGTACATGGTCATGACATGTTCTAGACTAAAGACATATTGTTCTTAGCTTATCCTTTGTACATTACAACATCTCAAACATCCGCCATCTGCATCTAAGCCTCCTCCACACATATCCCGTTGTTGTGCCACTATAGTATTGACCTTCCCAGAATATGCATACACAGGAAAACGTTTCAACACCCTTCCAGGCTAAACTCTTTCAAATGAGTTTTCTTGCATTAAGTTTCCCAACAGTGTAAACATTGTAATATGATGACATAATAACAATGTTTGAGGTTGTTGCCTCACCTCTTATTTTCTTCTTTCCAAGGTGTTCTCAAAGGACAGCTGTTTGGTGGCCCTAAGTGCCGGCATGATCAGCAGTGTGGTGGTGGTGATGGCTATGACGCCATTTGATGTAGTGAGCACGCGACTCTACAACCAGCCCGTGGATCACTTGGGCAAGGTGCGGAGAGAGAGGAATATGTTAAATTTTATTTCATTTTGCACCAACGCACAAGGGTCTCACATGAATATATATATTTGAATAATGAAGTCGATGCAGAAAGCCAGTGCATGTGCGTATTTCACTTCATGCAGAACATTCGATCACAATTTAAGTATTACCATGTCAGACAACGTTGTTGATTGCAGTTTATTAAATCAATGTGTTGAGGCTACATTAGCCGCTACTAGCACGATACACCTGAATCTCTTACCAAACTGTTGGTGGTCGAGTTGCATTGTGGGTAATGCTGCATAGATTTATTAAATTTTTTTAAAATTGTCCCACCTGTTTAGCTATGAAATTGTCAGCAATTTCATAGCTAAACAGGTGGAGTACTCTTTGAAGGATTATAACTTATAAGTAATGACTGATCATAAGGAGCTTAAACACTCACATCCAGCTGGGACAGTCAGCTGACCAGATCCAGGCTGACTTTCATTTTCTCATCTTTTAGGGACAGCTCTATAAAGGATTTGCTGACTGCTTTTCCAAGACGCTGAGGAAGGAGGGCTTGATGGGACTCTACAAAGGCTTGGGAGCGTCTTATTTCCGGCTTGGGCCACACACCATTCTGTCTTTGTTCTTCTGGGATGAACTGCGCAAGCAGTACCAGGAGTTCAGATAACATCAGGGACAAGGAAATGGGAAATGGGTAACTCATTAAGCTCTGAGTGCATATGTTAAATGAGTCCTCATTTAATGAGTTCACTATTATGAAGTAAAAGAAAAACCAGGCGATGCTACTGTCCTTTCTTAAAGGGAAAGAGAAAGAGCAAAGGTTACATTATACACTCCAATGAGAAAACACAGTCAAAATGCATCAGAGAGAAGGTGAAAATGTCAAAACGGATATCAGACAGATATCATAAAAGATTTGACTTAGTGACAAATATGCACAGATGTGAAGATAACTTATATAGGAACTTAGAAGATAACGCAATAGACCTCATACTTGATGTCCTCCAGGACAAATGCAACAAAACCTCATGGCTCTTTTAAAGCTCTCCAAAATATATGAAATAATCTGCTCTGAACTGGTCCTTCCTGAGAAAATTAATGGATTGTGCCAACACATGTTAACACAGGTAACAGTCTAAACTAGTGTATTCAAAGGGAAACATACAGTATGATGAAACAAAGATAAAAGTAAATGCTGCTGTTTAATCAAGAGTAAAGAAATGTGCTAGTCATACAAAAGCAAATGACCTGCAGTAGCCTTGTATTTACTGGAGGCAACGCAGAGTGTAATATGTCAACAGAAGTAAGACTTCTGGGCATTTCCTGTAAGCAACTTTGCCTTCAAGGTAAGAAGTGTTCTTAAAGCAAAGAGAACCTGCTTATAACTAATCTAGTCAGTATAAACTTTGTTCAAACCCACATAACTTATTTTACATTTTTATGGAGTTTCCAAATGCATCAAATATGTTAGGCCGAGTTTTGGAGAAAATGTTTATAAAATGAAGTCCTGACTTTGAATGTTTCACTCGGTGTAAACATCATATAGCTTTTATTAAATAACTGGAACAGAATATATTAATTTATGTTGTATATATCACAGTATGGATAATTTTTTAGAACCTCAAATGGAAAAAAGGGAAAAGACATCAGATTTGAGTTACATTATTGTTGTTTTTTACAAATGCCTTCAATATGCTGTATCGTCCAGTTTATTGGTGAATATTGTACATATCAATCATTCTGACCAGCGTACTGATATGTACAAACACAGTTTAGTGCATCATTGTTCACAGATTTATTTTATTTCTTTATGCATCTTTGTTTATTTTTATAGGGACAAATACATAATTGTTATTGATTGTTACACCACTTATGCCTAGATGGGCTTTTTTAGAATAATAAATAGTGCAATATTAGAATAGACGATAAAATCACTAACAAGAAAAACAGTAGATAATGTTAAGTACAGTAAAAGTAGATAAAGAAAGACCTGGTATTTTTAACTTAAAAACTAAATTAATTGACTTTAAGTTCATGTATCATTTGTGCTACATGGCTTTATCATAATCATGTACAGGGTCATGCCAGGAGAAGCTTGCCAGTGCAGTTTGATGTGTAAGTTTCCGTTTAAATTGACTAAATTATCTTCTGTATGTTTGCAAAATCTGTGATTTGAGATACTTGCTGTTCCTGTCCCACCACTAATATCCATTAATTCATTCATTCACCTTTTAGTATATTGAGATCATCCTGATTCAGAACATCGTTCCAGTGCTCCTTACAAAGAGCACTCTCCAAGGTTGCCAGATCAGTTCAGTTCAAAGTTGACAAAAAAATGTAAATACCAAAATAAATTTACAATCTTAACTGTGAAAATAGCATTGATACGAAAAGCTACTTACAAAATAGTGTGCCTTAATCCAGAATGAAATAAATTTAAAAAATTGTCAAAGAGTATATTTTGTAATTCAAGTTGAACTTGCAAGTTTGGTTTAAATCAAATTTATAATTGTAACTTCTTTTATTTATTTTTTGTTTGGTACTTTTATCTAATCAATTGATAATGAAATCATCAAAATTAATACTTCTACCTGATGTATTTGATATTGTTACTATAATATTTACTGTCTAACATTTAAGCCATTATTTATTACAGTGTGTTGTTATGGCCTTTGAAAAATAATTCAGTTCAAGACAGGAGTTAAAAACACTAATCTTAAATTATTTTGGTATTGATGTGAATGAATATCAGTCATGTCAGTCATGTTCATCATACCTACTATAATTTTACGATGTCCAGCTCAGCATGAGCATGTTACTTAGCAGCTTAAAATAGGCTTATAGCGTAAAGGCAGATGACATGATGAGTTGAGTTTTTCTTCACACAGTTAGAAAAGGGCATTCCACTGACTTCAACAACTCTGTGTCATTATTGGTACAGCTCCAGTGTGCGGTAGACTAATGGTTTTGTGAAGCTTTTGCAGATTATTCTGATCACCGTGAAATGGACTGTGTTAACACTGTGAACACTGTTTATCATGACGTGTTATAAATGTACTGTAGCTTTATGAGCACATATTTGTCGTCTTACATAATACAACACAGGAGACAATGTTACTTGAGTTTATTTGTATTATGAAGCTTTGGTCTCCTTATATTGCCATGTAAGACTTTGTAACTTCTCGATGTAATGCAGTTAATCTGTGAATGATTCCTGTCAAAACAAACTTTGTGCCAAAACGTTTGCAGTTCGTTTAGTTCACATCAAGCCAAATGAACAATTTTCAGTGGTTCAGACACCAAGTAGTACTGAAAACTCCAAACTGAACTGGCTGAAACAGATTAGAAACTAGACTGTGTGAACAATTACTGCTACATAAAAGACCCCTCAGTAAAATCTATTCAGGAGTGAACTAGTCCACTACCTTGAATAAATAAATGAATAGAAACCTGTTAACAGTGGTCTACAATGACTCCAAACTCCAAACTTACTGGATAATTTATATATTTTAAGTGCCTGGGGAATGAAGGAGAGAGGTTGTGGGAGGACTGATTATGTCAAGTACATGCAATAATGTTAATTTTAGTTTTTATACATTTGTCAGGAGATTGCTTATTTGCAGATGGTTCCACTGTAAAGTTGCTGATGACTTGCAAATGTATAATGGCTGTTACATGCAGTGGCGTGGCAATGTCTCACAAATGTGTTACTAATTGCACCATGTCTGTGCAACGGACTTGAACAAATAAATTATGACTTTTTATTGACGAACATTGTGGTTTTACTCACTTGTTATTTATGGGCTGAATTGAATATGAGACATGAAAATTGTTAATTTTCTGTCATATTATACTCAACCTTTAGTACTAATGTCTTACACAGCTGAGAAGACGGTGGCTTGAGGTTAATTTCCTTGAGTTTACAAGAATTACAGTAATCTTCTCACCACTGCGTACAAAATTGAACAATTGGTAAATTTCCCCACCGGCTGATCGAATTATTAGAGAACAGAAAGTGCAGCCATCTGTTTTCACATCACTAATGCATTTCAAAGATTTCCGATAGTGTTTAGCATACAAAATTATTTGAAAGGAACTAATTAATTTGGAAACAAGCAGGTCAGCTGTGTGAAAATGCAAACATAACAACATAGCCTGAGTTGTGACATGACACCCAGAGGGAAATGTATTTTATGTACACACAGATAACGTTTGAATGCGCCTGACACAAAGGTGACTGAAGGCGACAGCTCTGTTAACTCTACATGTTTTCACAAATGACTATTCTGTTGCAACATTGTTTTTTATTACTGACTGTACAGAGACAATGATCACAGTATCATTAAATTCAGTCCACAGTACAGCTCATAAAATATGAGCGTATAACACAGCATGTTGAAAAGTAACACCTAAAAAAAGTATTGTAGCTGGTGAGCAGTCACTGGTATTACATGTGCTGCCATTGGGACTTCAGTGTGTTTTGACAAGAGCTCCTGTCAATTTGTGGAGTGTTACGGAGGAACACTGGACATTTTGTCCACGGTGGCTGGCTTGAAGCTCAGAAGCCAGTCGCGTTCTTACACACAAAACTGGTCCTTAGGAAGAAATTAAACATTAATGGTTTTAGTATTTTCCAATTCTAACATGTACGTAAAAAAAATCTTATTTTATTCATCGTCTTTGACATGATTTACTGTAGCTTCCATAGTACTCTACTGCCCTTTTTGTGACTTCAAGGTTGATGGCGTTCAATCTCTCAGACTGACAGAACAGAGAAATGACTGACTAACAATCATCTCTAAAAAAAAAAAAAACAACCTCCAGCCCTATCCCTTCACTCCAGCTGCTCCAGTGCAGCAATGGGCAGCTCCCAGGTGTAAATGTTTGTGTGTAAATTTCTGTGCAAGTAGGAAACGAGCCATTGGGCAGGTCATGCTCAGTGAGCCTCAATGAATAAAAATATAAAAATAAAATAAAAAACATGGACAGCAACAGGTTTTTTTTTAACAAAATGTAGTCACAAATATCTTTAAAGGGATATAAGAGAAATAATGAATCAGTATGTGATGTCAAATAGAAAAAAACAGAGGTTACCACACAATTAGTCTAAATGGAATTACCATTATTATTATTAAATGAACATTTTCCCAGTCAGCAGTGTCAACAGTAAATCTGCCCTGACATGAATCATCTGCAGAGGACACAGAGGAGGAACTAATCGGGGAAAAGCCTATGTGCTCACTCGTGTCTGCCGCGTGATTGCACTTCTTCCCCAGTTTAAAACCACGAATGTGTATTAGAAATGACTCCTTACTGTTCCTGTAACTAGATTTAAATGATCAGTGTGTACTTGTACTTGAAAGCAGTTTAGTGAACCAAAAATTTCAAAATGGTATGACAAACTAGCCACCAGGTGACTTTAAATACACCTAAAAACGCAAAGTTTATTTTGAAGGTCACCTGCAGATGCTATTAAAAAATATTACCCAGGTGTGTAGTTTTTATTTAACTCACTAGGGGGCGACAACATATTTTCCTACAATAATGGGAAACTAACTGCAGATACCAAATTTAAGACAATAAGAGTTTTCATTTACACAGACACAGAGCACATGACTCTGCAGCACAGATATATTTGTATGAAAATACCCGGTAAACATTTACTGCTACTTCTGCACCGCGCAGTTATTGATATGCCAACATCTGGCACAGAATCAGTCTTCCTTTTTAGTGGTGGTGGTGCTGCTCCTGTAGCAGAAGACTTGGGCCAGGAGGACACCGCTGAAACAGACTGACAGTATGTGTGACAGAGCAGCAAATGAGCATCCCGTCTCCTACAAGACATGTTGGAGGCAATCTCAGTTAGTAAAGGCAACACTGACAGACTGGAGTAAAATATACAGTCGTCCAGCTATGTTTATGTTTGTGTGCAATTCCTGAATACCTGTAGAGACACAAACCAGACACCCAGAGACCCTATCCATGATAGTAACACAGACAGAGTGGACAGTTGCCCTGTGCAACCATTGCAGTAGTTAGTTCCAGCCTGGAGACCCTGAAAACAACAAACCTAGTGAATAAATTCACTCTCCTCTGTGCATAATCACTTCAAAGTTCACATGTCTCATGAAAGCTCAGAAATGGAGCTGTACAGACAACATAAGCCACGTAGTTGCTACCTTGCTTGCTATTAAAGCTGCCAAACTTGTGGACTGCATCACTGAGCCGACTCCTGCAGCTGCATAGGAGCCCAGAAGGAACATCACACCACCGTAGGCCAAGAGGAACAACATCCCTGTCATGCAAACATGATGATAAGATGTTGGAAACTTCATGCACAAGAAAATAATGCCACACAAGAAGCGTTCAAACATTTAATAGCAAGAATGTTCACTTTCACAATGAATAGTTATCTGACAAATGTTGAAATGAATGAATCATCTCAACCTACAAAGTTAAACCGGCTGTTAAACCAGTGTTGTCATTGCTCTTCCAAAAAAAAGAGGTCTGTGAAAAGGTTATCGCGTGGTGACACCACAAGGTGGTGCTCCAGGAAAGCACTGATCAAAAATGAAATAGGAAGACTGTGTGAGTGACAGCCACCTGAAACACTGAAGTTATGATGTCCAAAATATCTTTGGACAGTTGACAGTCCCACTAGTGTGAGGAAACATGTGTTAGAGCAAGTGGTTTGATAAAAACATGGCCGATATGGCTGGTATGTTTTTTTCCCTTGTAAGTGGTACATTGTAAGTGTTGCCTAAAAGCAATACTTATCTGAACTTGTTATCTGAATCCACCTTCAGATGTTATTATGATCTAGCTCTGTTACTGAGCCAAACGTTATCTCACCTTTGAAGTTCTTTAGTTTAGAGAATTTTGTTAGCCATTTATAAATACTAAGATGAAGACTACCACTGACCCTGCAGCACCAGCCAAACCTAAGAAGATTACATCTAAAATCTAGACAAGCAGAGCGTCAATGGAGAAAAACTAAGCTGCAAGTCCATTATGACAGTTTTAACAAACCCTGATTTCTAAAAATCATGGTAATCCCAGAATGCCTTTTTTCACATCCTCATTAATCCAGCTCCAAAAATCCACTTTTTCATCACCTCAAAAATGTGAAGAGTTTGAGACGAAATAACAAAAATCAGGTCAGATCTAAACCATGGTATAAAGATTGTGCATGGGCCCTTTCTTTGGACGCTTTCCCACTGCACTGAGTGACTTTGCTACTGTTGATAAAGTCATGCTCATGAACCAAGTAATGCAACTAAAGCTCCCCACCTGCTCACTTGATCCTTTCCCCACCACCTTTTTAAAGACTGTGTTTTGAGGATGAAGTGCTAGCGATTGTAAATCTCTCCCCTGCTAACTGGTATTTCCCACTGGCACTGAGAACTGCTATTGTGCAATCTCTTCCAAAGAAAAGTAATCTGGCTCCTTTAGTGATAAATTAAAATTTTAATTCTTAAAAAAACAGCTTAACAGCTAAATTATTACCTTAATTTCAGTTTTATATTTGAGAAGTTTCAGTCTGGTTGTAAAAAAACCTGAGATTGCCTATTTACTACATTATTATTTCCTAATCTTACAGTTTACTTTCACTGCATTGTTGTATTTTCATTATATTTCATTCTATTTGTGTATTTCATTTCAAAGTATTTAGAGACGAACTAATGCATTGTTGGTTTAGGTCTTTTCATGCAATTTGATGACAATAACAAAAATACAGAATAAAGTCAGAAAGTAGGCTACACATTATTTGGAATGTGTAGCCTACTGTCCACAGTACAGTCTGTGAATCTAGAAAAATGTGTGCTAACCTTTGAGAGAATCACCACGATAATGCAGGATTAGGAAGACAATCGCTGCTGTCTGGGCCAACGTGAAGAGCCTCTCACCCCAAGCACTGCGGAGGAGTTCAGGTAAAACACATGTAAGGCACACATCTATGATGATAGATTCATGCTCTCAGCTGCAGAGTATGTACATTTATGCACTTGTCTTTAAAGCTTACATTAAGGTGTGTAGTCTACATCATTCATATATTTATTGACTGGATGTCACCAGTATAGGCTACACCCAGGGCCTTGTGCAAACGACTCAGTTCCACAGCTGGTGAATTCATACAGAATGATCAATCTGAGAAAACCGGTTGAGCATTAAACTTGGTGTAGTTTCCAGCATCACAGACACAGATGAACTCTTGGGATTTATGACGAAATGTTGGCGAAAAGTGGCAAGAGAATTCATGATAACCATAACTAAATTATGGATGAAATACAAAAACAGTGCTTAGACTGACACTTTTTTTTTTAACTTCAACTGTCCGTTTCTAAAGTTTTTACATCTCACATGAATGTTTAGAGAAGTTAGCAACATGATTATGAAGCAACACTGAGTCACGGTGTGATCTTTCAGGGCAAAAGCAGCCCAGACCAAGAACTCTGACATAGGGAATACGTACAAGAGAGGGAAGTTGTTGGCCATTGCGTACACAACAGGACATGAGAGGGCATAAAGCTGCAGCAGAGCGGAAGTCAGACTCAGGCCAACTGCACTTCCTCTCCACAGTATCTTCAACAGCTGAGGTAGCTGTGCTGCAAGGAGATGACAGACAGGAAGTCAGGATGGTGCAGTTTCTCATGAAGTGAGAAATATCTGTGCTTTTACATAGATCACATGGGTTTTTTTGTGATATCACCACCAGGACTGGTTATCTACATAGTATTCATGGGAATGTGAATCCTGATGTGATTAGTGAGAAGAGACATATTAGTGAAATAATGACTGGGTGATTTCTTTCTCGTGGTCTGCTTAAAGACATCTCACATGTGAGTGTGCCCTGATGAAAAGCTATTATGTAATCTTTGTTGTGTTTGTTTGTGATGCCCTGCTGCTGCTGCTGTCACGTGATTACATCAGATAGGTTAAAGGGAAGTCTTACACAAGAAAGTGTCCAGAATGATCCAAACTCCGACAGTTCTGTTCAGCACAAACTTTAGGCAAGGCACTGGGACAAATGAAAAATGTTAAAACAATCACTGCAGATGTTCACTCGGGCCAACTCCTAATGTTGGATAACACAGTGAGAGGCCTAAAACATGATTTTGTACACGAGTTACAGAAAGAATAACACAGACGTAACATATAATATCACAGTTATAGGTTACCAAAAGTTTGCAATGTATAAGTATAGGCTAAGTGGGAGAGGCGAAAGCCCTCCAAGACTCTACCTCCCGCACATCTGGAAAGATTTCTCGCAACATTTCACCCATTTTACCCGAAATGTAACAACAACAAGCCTCACCGTGCAAGTGAAAGTTGACGCAAATCTCCTCATAACATTTTTCTGGCATTAAATAGGTAACCAGGAAGTGTTTGACAGGAGACGTGGCCATCGTGGATCAGCTGCAGCCAGGAGTACTGCTCAGTAACAGGGGGAGTGGTCCAAAGGATCCCCAATATTTACAGCGGAGTGTAGACCCCGTCTGTCCGTCCAGCTGTTATCTCTGAGGGTAAACGTGTCCGGAAGTCCACGGTTTCATAAAAAATGCACCTAGCCTCTTTATTCCCTTTTCCCCCCGGATAAATATGTTTCCCTATGGATTTTTAATATAACATTGAAACATTTTGGACGGAGTTCTCCATGGCGTCCTCAGACAGGTTTCATGACATCGCCTATTTTCTCTGTTTCGAATAGGCCTTGTCATTTGATAATTATATTATCAAGAATCATATAATTCAGGGCTTTTCAAAGTGTGTGGCGGGGGGGGGGGGGGCTCAGTGAATGGAAGTGAAACAATATTAGGCCTACATTAGTTATTGCATTAGTTATCAACAGGAGATCACATAGTATAGCCTACTATGTGTGAGAGTTCAGTTTTGGGGAACTGTTTTCCCCCCATCAGAGTCAGAAACTAATAAATGCCTTAGGACAGATCTTTTTTTTTTGTTTGTTTTTAACTATTTGGTGTAGTCTGAAGTTATGGGTTAAGTTAGAAGTTAGGCTATTTTGGCTATTTTGGCTCAAATGTTTAGTGTCTATGGGATCAAATAATATAATCATGATCCCATAGGCATCCAGGAATTGAGCGAAACTTACCAAGTAAACTAAAGATGTGGTGGGGAAGGGGGCACCATTTTCCAAGCTTTGTCTGCAAGGAGGCCCGCAATCTCAGACTTTGAAAACCCTTGATTTAAATTACGTCTGCTCCCTCTTCCTCATTGTAAAATCCACAATATTTGTACTGGAGAACTGTATTCATATCATGCTTGGTTTCCAAACTTATGTCACAAAATCCTTCTTGTATAGGTACACATTTTATACTCAGATTTAAAGCGAGCACAGATAAACGATCCCGCTTTGACAGATGAATTCTAAAACTGACAGGTGAACTCTGCACATAACATCATTCTGCACAGTGTTTGCCTTAAATCTGGAGTGGAGTAACAATGAGCAAAACAAATTTTCAGTGGCCAGGGTATCTTTTAAATAGCTTTTACCCTAGTTATTAAAGTCATTGATTTTCTTTCAGTCTGATGCATTCATTCATGATGAAATGTAAATTAAAATACCTTGATAACACATCTCTTAGAGTTACAGAATCCCTACTCAAGTCAGAGCACAAAGTCTGCTGTCTGATTAAAACTACGCTAAGGACGATAATTTACACAAAAGTACACACAACAAACTACATATGATTCTGTTATTAATAACCTTTTTACACCTCCCATACCAATTAGCCATTATACTTGTGTCCTCAAGTGTGGGTGCGACTTCTCTTTTCTGGAAACAGGAAGGACATGAGCCAAAACCTTATAAGCGAGAGCTTTGACATCAGTTAGTGAGTTTTCACCCTGACAACATGTGCACTGGAAAATGCTCCCGTTGCATTGCCTACACTCTGTACCCATTAGTGGTCATAGCCATCATCTGTAACATAGTGTTGTTCTTTCCCGGAGGGGACATCAAGTACGCCAAAGATGGACACATTGCCGAGGAGGTGAAATACATGGGGGGACTCGTTGGAGGGGGTTTACTGGTAAGTTGTCTAGCCTCTTATTAAAGTGTGAGACTCTGGACTAAAAGCTGCTCTAAGCTTGATTCTGAAATATAATGTGCAGCATTGGGTAAAACTGAAAAACATTGGCTTTATACTTTGCATATGTTTTTATTGGTTTCTCAGTGGTTACCTCACCTTTTCTGGATCCTAAATCTGTGCTTCAGTGATTCTCTTAATCTAGCAACATTTCAGATCCGTTGCATTGTTGATTAGTGTCATCATGTACCCCATATTTTAATGATGCACCTTTCAGCCTGACTGCTACAAGTCTCAAACTTTTAATGCCACAGTTTGAAATGGAATTCCTCAAAACCTGACTGAGGACTAACTTCCTCAAAGTGCTGAATTGTTTTAACTAAATTTATGAATGATTTTGAACATGTTTGACACTGATGCTGCATCTGGTTCCCTGTCAATGAATGTGTACTGCCACAGGTGTTGATCCCAGCACTTTACATCGGCTTGACTGGAGAAGAGGGCTGCTGTGGAAATCGCTTTGGGGTGAGTCGGTCAGAAGTAGATGTTTTAGGTGGTCAGTAAAAGATAAAGGGAAAACATACCTTGAGTTAACATTTCATCAAATTATTGTTTCTAAGGTCAAGAAGAAGAAACTCAACTAAATACAAGTGTTTAATGGAGACCTGTTAAGCTGAGAATTATTTAAAAAATTAATTAAAAAAAGTGAAATATGCTGAATGGTCATCATAACCACAGCACAAAACATTTTCTTTCTCCTTTTCTTTCTTTAAAAAAGGACATTTATTTATAAGTTTGAAACCTTCATAAAAAATCTGCTGATATATACCGATATTAATTAATTCTGCAGATGTTCTTATCCATTGTATTTGCTGCAGTGGGTGTGGCCGGTGGCCTTTACAGTGCCTTTGTAGCGGTGCTTGGTTTGAGTAACGGGCCCCTCTGCAAAGTTGGTGATGAATGGACAACACCTTTTAAAAACAGGTGACAAACAGAAGTAACTGTCTGATGTAACTTATTATGATATAAGAAATCCTGGTTATTTATACGCCTGTTCTCTTAAATAGTGATTTTTCCTACCTGACTGATGACAAGTTGTGGGGAAACTGCATAGAGCCTAAGAACGTGGTGCAGTTCAACGTTGGATTGTTCATCATTCAGATAGCAGTCAGCAGCCTGCAGGTGATTCTCTGCGCCATTCAGATGATCAACGGCCTCTTTGGCTGCCTGTGTGGAACCTGCAACGACAAAGAGGTAAAGACAAAGAGGTCACACAGAGGTTCCATGTCAGGATATCTGAATCCAGATATTTCTCAGATAAAGAGTGTCATTTAAGAGAATCTTAACTTCAGTTGTGCTTTCTTTTTCTTTTTTTTAACTTGCAGGAACCATGGTCAGGAAGCTCTGATCGTGTACAATTATACTACATCTGAAAAGACGACTGTTGCCGAGACTAGTGTTCCTGAGTGAATCTGTATAAAACATTCACTTTGAAATTGTTGCAGTCTCTGACAACAGATTTTAACATTTTATGTATATTTTATGATGCTCCACATGGTTGCAACGCATTAGTTTATGTTGTGAAATAAGCACAGTTTCAGGAATAACTCATGCTAATTATACTCTAAAGTGGTTTTCGAAATACAAGCTGCTGATCCCCTGCTACAGCTCTTTGTTGTGTTTTATCACATTTAGCATTTTACTGTAATATTAACTGTTTGGCTTATACATTTCAGGCAAAATAATAAATACCACGCCTTCTTCTTCAGTAACACGTTTTATGTTGATTGTATGATTACAATAAATGTCACTCAATACTGTTTAAGTGTTCACATCTATATAAATGTTGCAGTGTTACCTCAGACTGTTGGGCGTATAAACTTACTGTTGAAAAGCTGGCTGTTCCCTGGTGGCCAAGCCAACATGTTAGATATCACAACAGCAGCTTTTATTGTATGAGAAGGTTACAGTTTAATATACTATTCTCCGCAAGCATATCATCTAGATGCTACACGCATCAGACAAGTGCATGTAGTTAGCCTATTGCAAAACAACTTCTCAATATCCATACAAAATTGCCTGTGGCTAGTTTAGGTTCTCATGAATTGTGGAAGTATGTGTGCTTTTGCATAGGTTTTTGTGATTTCATCACGTTGGATGGATGGTTGTCTCTGTTGTTACAGAAGTTACTCAATCACGGGAATGTGAATCCTAATGTGATCTTATAGTGTAAAGAAGAGACAGCGTCATAATGATTGATTTTTAAAATATCTTTAGTAACACTTTATTTTAAGGTGCTTGTAATAAGCAGTAATTAAAAAATAATAAAACACTTATAAGACCTTATAAGATGCTTACAAACACAAATAAGTGTTAACTAAAGCACAATTAACTAATTTATAATTGCTTATAAGACACTTTATTATTAGAAACTTGTTGATGGTTTATATATCTGTCATTAACATTAATAAGATGTTTATAAACATTAATTAGACTTTACAAGGATTGGTTATTGAGAAAGTTCTTATTTCCTTGAAAAGACACTTGTAGTGAACTTATTTAAAAAAAATCTTAATGTTAATAGGCAGCTTATAAAACACATCGTTACTAACATTGATAAGACTGTAAGTTTTAAATATTTTCTCAAAATATGAATAAACACATTTCTTATTTCTTTTCAGCATCCGTATGAGCACTTACTAGAAACTTGTTGACAAGTTAAGACTGCACCAAATTCCAAGTAGGAGTAAATGTTGTAATATAATGTAATATAATATTTTATTTTAACAATAAAATGTTAAGTTTGTATCTTTACATGAATTTATGCGGAAGCCCTAAGCGGCCATCGATTCATATCTTTATTTTACTCCGTGGATAACGGGATAATTATCTCGTGATCGAGATGACGACTGTTGTTTTCTCGTGATCTTGAGATAACTAAACGTTCTTGAAAACTCTTGTAAACAACATTGATTAGCTCAGATGGAAAGGCACAGGACTCATAGTCATAAGATTGTGAGTTTGATCCTTATAAGAGACTTGTTGTTTATTTTTATCTTTTCCATATTCATTTCAAACAAAGTTGTTATGAAGATAATTGATTCACATGCTCACGATTAAGCACGTGCTGGAGTGTGCGCATCCCAGTGATTGGTCCACATTCATCAACCTATGGACTTTTCATTTCCCCATCATTCCCAGGCAGAGGAAATTCATCCACTTCTCATTCAGGGGAATCCATTTAACTACACATTTCCTGATGGCTATTTCAGGACCTTTGAAATAGCCGTCGGGAAATGTGTCACTGGATTCCCCTAAATCTCTTGATAACAACTTTGTTGAAGAGAATGATTAAACACACAAAGAACAATAAAGAAGAATAAAAAACTTTTCAGGGAGCAGGAACGAAACCTGGAAACCCTGGGATGCAAGTCCTGGGCTCTACCAACTGAGATAATGTCAGGATTTCCTAAAGAGAACCCAAAAGCAGACCAGAGACGGAGAGAGCAGTTCAGGATGTTTATTACAGGGAACAATAGGTGGATGGTAAGCATGGCGTAAGGGTGGCTGGCATGCAGGGAACTTGAGCTGAGGTCCGAGAAATGGGTGCTGACGGGCAGGCAGAGTGGCAAGGGTTGGGTCCAAGGATAACAAAACCGATGGCTGGTGTAGATGACTAGGGACGGAGAGAAACAAAGTTACTAAGGATCAGAACGACAGACTAACTCAACAAAGCAAGTTAACTTGAAGTTGGCTGGTGCGAGTGCATACACAAATGACACAACGATCCAGCGGCGACTGGATGGCTGGAGGCATTATAAGAAGGCTGAGGAGATTGCTTGATGAAGAGCAGGTGAGTGATCAGGGATGGGGAGCAGGTGAGTGAGTAAACCAGATCCGAGGACATGCCTCCTCTCGACGACTGCAGGGAAAGGGAAGGAGAACACAGACAGACAACACAAAAAACCAACAGACCAAGCATCCCGCAATTGCACAAAGAGGGAAAAATAAACAAAAGTCATGCATACACATACCAAGGGCCTGGGACAAGGGTTCAAGACTAGGGGATCGTGACAGATAACTGCTGACTCAGCAAATCCAGGTGAAATTATCATAAAGAAAGGCACCGGCCAACCCCTGTATTTAGATATGGTTTGTTATCTCGAGATTACGAGAAAATTATCCCGTTATCATGGGAAAACGGAATTAAAAAAAAATTTAATCGATGCCCGTTTAGGGCTTCCATAAATATATCTAGTTTTGAATTAATATGCATTTGTTTTTTTTTACAAAATGCATGAAGTAATCACAGTCAATCTTCTTAGGTACATACACACACACACAACAAACCTTTTTACTCAGTATAAAAAATGATTGTGCGGGAGTTGGACCCATTACCTTGGTAATCTATTTTTGTTGATACCATGGTGTTATGTTCTAGGGTTACTTTTTCTTGGTATTCTGTTTCTCTTTCCCTGTGTCTCTAATTCTTTTCTCTCAGTATCTCATGATCTTTCTCTTTCTCTCTCTCAGTCTCTTTCTCAGATCAAGGAAGAATTCTCAAGGAACAGACCGAAGCCACTAAAGTCCACATTCCCAGGGAAGTTGGACAAACACACGTAGATTGGAAGGGAGGAGCTGTTGGGAAGAAATTTGATGAGACCCTTGACATCATAAATGAGGTATTGTAGCTGTTAGTTTAATGTTGGAGCATTCTGATATCTGTACTGTAAGATAATCTCATATTCCATATATTTGTAGGACAGCAGCGCTGAGTCCTGAAGAGAAGCTGTGATCAGAGGCCTCATTCTCTACCTTGATGAAAAGACAGAGGCGTTAATCAAGGACTACCAAATGAAGAAAAAAAATTTTTATGACCTCTCACCTTTTATTAATGCACACTGCAGGACTCGCAAATGTATTTCTTGATTTATATATACATGACTCTCTCCACATAAGTGTTTTTCAATTCAAAGAAGATAGTTATTGTTTAGAAATGTAGGCAAATCCATGTGAGAAAAACATAATAAAGGTTCACAAAGGTATTTCTGATGTGCACACATATTTCTTGACTTAAATGCCAACAACACTCAAAGCTACCACAGAAAATACATAATCCCATCCAGATTCCGGTTCAGAGAGAGAGTAAAGAGCTATATGTGTTCTTAACATCTAGCAAAAAAAGCAGGTTTAATTATCTTTGGTATATTTCACAGGTTTGTGATGACAACGATTCCTCAGCCATCCTTCATCATTCAGCCAAGAGGCCCTCCCTTCATTTGCACTCAACATATTTGTGGTCGAGAAAAATCAGGGAGGGAGGTCTTAAAAAGCAAGGTGGAATAGCCATCGCAGGAGCAATGGTCCTTTTTGGTATTCCCATTGTAGCGCAGGCTTTCACCTACTTAGTGGGACTTTTAAGGTTTTTTAGAAGATCTTCGTGGGGCTGGAGGATGGGAGGATTTTGTATAATATAACACTAACTTTTTAAATATTTTTCCACATCCTTCTTGTATTATTTCTTTTTACAAACATTTACTCACCTTAATAAGACACTGACCCACTTTAGGTAGCTGCAAAGGAGCATTGTTAATGGTTAATAAGTGCTTAAATAAGGATATATTAGCCTTTTTAAGGCAGTAATATAAACTTCTTACAGTCTGATTACTGTCATTAAACATCCTATTAACATTGATAAGTTATCTATAAACTGTTAACAAGTTTCTAATAAGTGTTCATAAATATCTTACAGGCAATAATAAATGTGTTTTAGGACATTACTAACACTCATTAAGTCTCTAGTTAATGGTAATAAACATCTTATTAAGGTTCATGAGGTATATATAACTTGTTAACACGTTTTTAAGAGCCTATAATTGTCTTATAAGCTATAATAAATGTGTTAATTAGGCTTTAATTAACATTTAAATTGACTTATTAATGTTTATAAGCAGCCTATAAGGTCTTATAAGTGTCTTATTAATTGTTAATCACTGCCTATTAAAGGGTCGGCTTAAATAAATCTCACATGTGAGTATGCCCGGATGAAAAACTAGTATATAACCACCTTTGCTGTGTTGATGCCCTGCTGCTGCGTGATTACATCAGAACGGTTTAGGCGAAGGAGAAGTCTTTGGGAAAGAATATGCCTACTTGAGAAAACTGCTGCGTTGTAGGATTGTAAGGCACCAGCAGTATTTATCACAGCTCTCCACCTGGAGTGTTGGCCAGAACACTAATTTAAGCCAGGATTCAATTTCTGCAGCATGACCATAGCCATGAACATCACACAGGAAATTACAAAAAGAGTTGAGAATGAAGGATGGTTCAGCTTAATCCACAGCAACGTACTCACTCACAGCACCAATTTATCCAACCCAACCTCTATCTCACTGCCTCAACTAAAGAGCACAAAGGTGCAAGACAAAGTGAAATTATGATATTGGACATGTATCAGGAATAAATATTTAACAAAAGTCTTTTGGACAGCCGCTCCCAACTGGATGAGGTACATTTGCTCCTAAAAAAGACCACTCAATGCAAAGCTAAACATCCTAAGGTGGATGGCTGCCATCTCCAGCCAGGAGAGTGAGTAGAGTCACCAGCAGGGCCACAGGTCGGGTGTAGGTTTTGCCCTAACCTTCCACGGCCACTGACCTGATGTGCCCGCTCGCTCATCTGTGCAGTAGTTAGCAAAATTTGGAGACACTTATTGACTTAGAAGCATCTATCAATGGAAGGTCTCATCTCCTACTCTGGCTGTTATCTCTTGTGTAGCACTGCAAACTGAATTCAGCACACCACTGACTGCACATGGTGCCA